TTTATTTTCTCGTTCTTCTTGTTTCTTTTCTTTTTCCTCCAACAACTGCTGTAATTTCTCTTCTTTACTTTGCTGTTCGAGCTGCCATTGTTGCAGGTTTTCTTGCAACTGCTGTTGTCTCTCTTCTTGTTTCTTTTCTTTTTCCTCTAACAACTGTTGTAATTTCGCTTCTCGTTCTTCTTGTTTATTTTCTCGTTCTTCTTGTTTCTTTTCTTTTTCCTCTAACAACTGTTATAATTTCTCTTCTTGTTTCTTTTCTTTTTCCTCTAACAACTGTTGTAATTTCTCTTCTTTTCTTCTCGTTATTCTTGGAAAAATGGAAACGAGAGGCGGAAAATCAAACTACAGCTTAGCAGATTTGATGGCAGCAATACAAAAGTCAGAAGTGGGATAGAAAAAAAAAAGAGAAGACAAATTTGTTACGTCTCCGTTTGTTAATTAACTTTCTGTAACTTCGTTCCGACGAAACTTTAACGACACAAGTCCTTACTTAATAAAACTGGTTTATTCTTCCCGAATAGAACTTTACGATACACTTAATTTCAATATTCGCGCTAAAACAAACACTATAACGAACGAACGTTAACTTCAACAATACCCTGTGACTGCAGTTCAATTACTCACTACCTACACACACATTACATTACCGTCACGTTGTCACCCTCTTTTATATACCAGACTACTCTATATCTAGTAAATGCTAGAGCATTCGCCAAAGTACAGGATAGTTTTAGAAAGTAGAGGGCGTAAGAATAGTCACGTGATCTCGATGACGCAACACTACGAAGAAAAACAGTATAATATTAAGCTTATGAAAAATACACAATAACTTTATGTTCAGGAATACGGCACGCATTGTCACTTGGTTTCTCAGTGATTTGTGAACTTAATTTTCATTCTCCTTATTAATGAAAAAAAAAAACATAATTGTTTTCCAGTTTATGCTACTAATTTATACTCACTTTATAGGATTATCTCGATGGTTTATCTAGATATTTTTAGAGAATATATACAAGTTTGTCTATTGCGTGTGTGTTCATTATTTTCGTCGTAGCGTCGAAACGAAAACGAGAAAAATTAAAAATAAATAAATAACGAAAAACTAGTAATGATTCGTTTATGACGACATTTCATTAATTCCAAAAATTATGGACTGATAGCCAAATTTAGAAGTTTTTTTTTTCAGGAAACGCTAATCTTTCATCGTTTGACACTCAGCTGTGGAGCTTAAGCTCCCATATATAGTTGTAAAAAGACTTAGTTTTTCAGCAGTCATACTAACTAGAAAGTTCTAATAATTTGTCAGACATATGTTTCATTTGAGCTAATACACGAACTTTATGTCAAGCTGCTAATATTACTTAAAATTCTTACAACTCTGACCTGTAAGTCAGTGGGCTTATAACGCTAAAACTCAGGTTTTAATACCCGCGGTGAGCAGAACACAGATAGGTGATTGTGTAACTTTGTTTTTTACAACAATCGAACAATTTACGACTTTATAATTTGCCTTGTATTTCCTAATAGACAATATATTACTAAGATAACCTATTTGTATACTGTGTTAAATAAACTGTTTCTATAGTTATTTCACATAGTTTTATTTAGGAAAATAAAGAAAATTCTATTAGCAATTCTGAACAAATATTACAAATTTGGAGCCACAAAACTATAAATTTTCCATGTTGTTACGATCGCGTTGATATATCGTGTTTAGAATTATCCAAATTCAGAGGTCCTTCACTCTCTTTAAAATATACTTTTCACTGTGCGATATAAATACTGGTTCTCTGTCTTAGTCTAGAAAACTGAAATTAAAACGCGTGATCATTCTTCCAATTAGACGTTAAAGATGCAATGTCAATAAAATCAAGGGACCAAAACAAAGGGTCATTAATCTTGTCTCTGTCAACCATAGCCCGTTTACTGATGACTGTGGACTTGTCACATTCCATTCCAACACATTAGTTGTTATCTTTAATAGAAGCTGGCGCCACAAACTTGTTTGCCTTTCTAGCCCCGCCGGACTTGACGACCTGAGACGGGACGAACTCTGTCTAATCCAGAAGTTTTTTTCCAGCTTATTTGACTCGATGTTGAATTCAGCTGTTAGTTGTAACGGCCACTGTCACTAACTAGCCTTCAACTCATATTGAAGGGCACTCATCAACTATGCTCTCCACCATCTAAAGCTTTGCTTGCACAAAAGTTTACCAACATCCCAAGCAGAAGATGCTATATCCAAAATTAATGGCAAACTTGTAGAAAGCGATAAAGTGGCATAATTATATTTCATTGTGTCTTGGTGGTCTGCAATTACGTTGTTATTTTAAATTAATATTTGCTGAGATACAATATACTAGTGAGAAAACTGCTCTTATTGGCTAGGCGGAGCAGCAAGCTGTCAATCAATTTCGATAATAGGCGGAACAAGAAAGTTTTTTTTTGTGCTATGTGGGCCGGCTCTGCGGTGGTAACGGCCTTTAGACCTATCAATCAGTTTCAGTAGAACACACCTAAGTTTGCTGAGCAACAAAGTTGGTATGTGCTGATATTACTTGTTAAGAGGTTTAGTCAGTCAGTAGCTGTCGATCAAATTGTGTTTATGGTGGACATGATGTATTTGTACGTGGTCTGACAATTGTCTTGTCCTTCTGTTAATATGCCTGTGTAAACAGAGAGTCAGAGAAAAAGTTCCTAATCTTCGAAGCTCGAAGTGTGACGTCTGGTTAGGCTGACAACGTTTTGTGAGCAGCAGACGTGTAGTAGTCTGTCTCATATGCACAGTATGTATGTGTAAACTACATTAGTGATTTATCTTAACAGCGTAACTTTTCCGACAAGAACGAACGTTGGATGGAGCGCTGATAAAACTAAAGTTAACCTAAAACTGAAGTGTCCAGAGGCTAGAGACCGTAATAAAAGTAACACAAACAGTTTGTCATGAAACCTTAAAAGTTAAAAGTCTAAGAAAGAGAAACTTGTTAACTGGAGAAACTGCCCGTTAAAGAAACTAGAATAGTTGTTAAAACGTACGATGTCGTATACGCAGTTTGGGTATGGAACGTACCCTTCGCATGCTCAGGTTCGTAGGATGTTTTTATGAATATATTTGTCAAAGATACAGAAATAAATGAATAACAGATAAATTTATACAGTTAGAATGAATGTGATATACTTAGTTAAAAAAAAAGGGCTTAAAAATGGCTTCGAATCTCATTACGTCGATATAATTTGTGGTAAGTAATTCCACTATACTTGGTGACGGATGAATATGTAGGCCTAGTTTCATCTCGGACGTTTATTATAAAGAACAAGACAGTATCTCATTTCGTCTTTAGTAAGCTATAAAAAAAACCGAATGACACAAAGTTCAAACATAGAATTAGAAAGTAACATAGCTTAAAATTTTCATTTATTTATGTATTGCAATATACATAAGATGGTAAATGTTTAGAAGAGATTGAAATCCATTCTTCTGTTTTTACACTCCATTAATTGAAACTAAGCAGAGCATGAACGTGAACACTATGTGGACATTCTTATTATAATTTAGTATGCTCTACGTAATACTTAGAAACTAACACTACGGTCATCATTTACCGGCACTACTTACATTTGGAACATGCTCTTAACAATAACCAGATAAGTTAGGATTATGCAATGAAATCAGCGACATGGAACAAGGATGGCATTCCTATCTATACGTACATAAACACTAATGGGGCCTGAACAAACATTTCAATAGAAGGAAGGTACTTGTGTCAGAATAGAAATACATTCAAGTAAAGTACGGGGTGAAAAGTTGAAATAAATCTCAGAATTTTAAAAAAGAATATAAAATTACCAAGATAGGACTATGGCTATTCACAATATTGCCTCTATGAGAGTGAAAAATTTGAAAATAAATCAGAAACCCATAATGTTTGTCACTATTTCTGATAGTAACTGTTAACATACGTGTAGTATATTGTGTCGAGCTTAGAAGAGTTTACACATTTCTGTTGTAACTTTACTGGGACTAAATCCCAACGAAAAATAGTGCCCAGCATCTTACTATGTTATATATTTTAAATAAAAAAATCCTAGAGTATAAACACAGATATAAAAGAGTGGTCATAATTTCTTACTGAGTTATGTGTATTACATACAACTAATAATGTTTGGAGACGGCTTGAATGGGTAATGAAGAAACATTTTAATGTAAGTTTAACATATAGCAAATGTGCAACGTTTCGACAAGGTTTTGTCATCATCAGTTTTCTTCATTACCCATTCAAGCCGTCT